TGCCCCCTCTCTTTGCGGCTCTTCGTCGCTCTCCCGCCGAGGAGGCGGTTGGGGTTCCCGGTGCCCTCAGTGCCGCTCCCGGATCCCGTTGGGTGCGGCGTGTGGGCGGCCTGCCTGGCAGCCTGCAGGCCCCTTGAAGGCGGTGTGTGCACTGCTCGTAAAGTAAGGGCTGCTGAGGTGACCGCTAGCAAAAGCGTTGTGGATGCAAGTGACCGCAAAACCTCAGGAGGTTTTTGTTTCAAAATAGCTGAGTAGTGAAACACTTCACATCAACTTTGCCCGTATAGGATGACTTCTCAGCAACTTGCATATTAGGCCTTACCTACAGTAGGCATGATCCTTGGTGTTTTAATCTTGTGGTGTTAACTGTGGGTTTTATTTTCTTAGTACTTGGAACCTGTGAGGTTACATATAGGTGTGAAGACTATACCTATAGTTGGATTGGTTAGAGGTATGTTTTGTAACATACACTGTAATAAACCTGCTTCAAGCCATTCGAGTTACTCCTTTGCCTACAGTCCAGGTACGAGGTGGTTTGGTGAGCTCTGCATGTCCTTTGCAGAAGGCTTGCTCTTACAGCTTGAGTGTCGTTGTAGGGGCACATTAGACCATGGCATACAACCATGAGCTTTAAACTAATGTGGAAAGGAGGTTTCAGTTTCATGCTATAACAGGAGTTGAACCAATGTCCATGTAAAAAGGGTGAGTGGCCTCTTTCCAGTCTTGTACTCAAAACAGAATAATTTTTTACATTTATCTTTGGTTTTAGTGGAAATTACTTAGCCTTTGGTACTGGAACGGCCTGTTTGTATGTGGGTATGCAAGTCTTTAACTCAGAGGGGTCACAAACTTAAGATGATGATTGGCAAGGGAAGAGAGTGGTCCCCAAAATATAACAAAATACACTGTGATGTTATCAAAGCATCATGGTCTTCTAATTCCTGTAGGGCAGTAGTGTGTAATAATTGGCTCTTCACTGTTTCATGTGTCTGCAGCTGTGTGCTGCTTGTGGAAAATGCTATTTCATGTTCTATTTCCAGCTTTTGCCATAGCCTTGCCTCCCTGCAGACTAGTAGGTGAGTTTAACTTCAAAACCATGTAGCTTAAGATCACTTCCTGTAATGTCTGAGAGAGATCACAGAAGAGAGAGACTGAAATGGTAGGCACGTTGTTACCTGAATAACAGCTGTGACAGTTGTGGGCTTGGTTGATTATTTTTTCATTTGTTTGTTTAGCATCTTCCCGTGAACACAAATTAAACTTCAAGAAGAGCAAGGAAGTGTGTTTAAGTTACATTCAGGATGCCATGCTACAAAAGCAGTGGAAAAGGGCTGCAGAATTTCTGACTTTCTATATTGAGTCACTAGAGAAAGACTTTTCTACAGAATACATGGGTCCATCAGAGGTGAGCCAGTGTCTCTTATCAGGGTTCTTTTGCAGTTGAAAAAAATACTTGCAAGAAGCATCTGTAATACTTCAGGACCAACATTTGCCTTAATTAACTAATCATAGGCTTGATTTTTTTAATTAAAACTATCAGATACTAAGACCTGAGAAGTTAGGCAACTTTCATAAACTAAACTGGCTTCTTAAAAAAAAAAAAAAAAAGACATTAAGATTCCAAACCAAATAAGGAACTCTTCAGGTGCTGATATAGAAACTCTCCAAAAGTCTGCCTCTGCACAGGCATGCCTCTGCTGTGGGTTTTAACCAATCTTGCTGGAGTTTGAATTCTGCTGATATCTCACTTTCAGGGGTGCTGAGAATCTGCAGTGCTGATGTTTTTTCTGAGTGCTCACTGCTCCTGAAAAGTTCTCTGGGCTTGCAGGCTGTTTTTGTGGGGGATTTTTTTGTTGGTTTATTTTGGTGGTTTTTTTTATACCTAGGCCCTTGACACAACAGATGAAAACTTGGCTTGGTATAAGTTAATTCCATCAGGAGCATATCTATGAAAAATTGTCTTAGTGTAGTCTTATAAAATGGAAGAGCAGTGAATGTGTTTGCCACTGGTATACCATCAGTCAGAATCTGTTTGAAAGTTAGTGGCTTTACCAGCTCCTCCAGGACTTACAAAACTCCTAGCAAGTGTTCAGATTTAAGCAGGAAGAAAGGGATCAGAATTATTAAATAAATGGAGTACTTGAATACGGCTAGCCTGCTGGAATACTCAGTTATATTCTGTAGGCAGACATTGAAAACAAGTGCATGTAGATGGGAAGCCACATCTAATTGGAAATAGGCTTGCAGGCTGTTTTTGTGGGGGATTTTTGTGTTGGTTTATTTTGGTGTTTTTTTATACCTAGGCCCTTGACACAACAGATGAAAACTTGGCTTGGTATAAGTTAATTCCATCAGGAGCATATCTATGAAAAATTGTCTTAGTGTAGTCTTATAAAATGGAAGAGCAGTGAATGTGTTTGCCACTGGTATACCATCAGTCAGAATCTGTTTGAAAGTTAGTGGCTTTACCAGCTCCTCCAGGACTTACAAAACTCCTAGCAAGTGTTCAGATTTAAGCAGGAAGAAAGGGATCAGAATTATTAAATAAATGGAGTACTTGAATACGGCTAGCCTGCTGGAATACTCAGTTATATTCTGTAGGCAGACATTGAAAACAAGTGCATGTAGATGGGAAGCCACATCTAATTGGAAATAATCTTTACTGCTAAATTCAAAGAATTATGTATACCTTGCATGTCAGCAGAAACATATCAAAGGGAAACATATGTTTTCAGTAACTTTGAAACATCCTGTTTTCAGTAACAGGAGGGGGAACCTTCTCGACAAATTCGTTTCTGTAAGCTTTGCTGGAGTGCTGCATTTGTAATGAGCAATTGTGAAGCACCCTCTGAATGATTGCAAAATACTACTAAATTAATATCTAGATGACTATAGCAGTAGACAACGCTTAGTATTAATTTTCTGTTTGCAGTTCAAATGTACATTTTATTCATATGTTGCAATAGCTACAAGTTTGATAAGACCGTATATATGGTGACTGTTCCCATTTTTTATACTGAAGTTATTTTTTAATCTTTCTTCCCATTAATAGATGATTTGGAGAATAGGAACTGAAATTCTGTGCCATCATTCCCATAGTAGCATGAAAGAGTTCAATTCTTTCATAGAACAGATGAAGACTTTAGGAGTAAAAAGGTATTTGAAGGTGAGTGCACTTAATGGTCTTGATGATTTTCCACGTGCTTTACTTGAGCATTAGTTTCTGAATCTCTCTATCTTGAAGTCTATTATGGACAATAGTGTCAAAAAGATAGCACATCTGAGTTACTAATTGCATGATAATTTAAGGGTTATTCTATACCTAACCATATCTTTATTTGGTCTATATATTTTATCACAGATGTGTATTGTCAGTCCTTAGAAGTGCTTAGATCCTTTAATTAATCTTCTAATTCGAAACCGTTAAATTCTTTTGTGCATGTCCCAGTTTGTTTCCAGTCCTTAATTTGGCCACTGTGCTCCTGACTAAACAGTTGTACTTCAATTTTGCTGCTCTTGTCAGCTCACTTTTCAAGTAGCTCATCTATATATAAAGCAGTAGGACCCCTCTGTCACCCAGTTGTAGGGTTTTTTTTCTGTGATGGCTCATTCAACCGTATATTGTTTTGGTTTCCTTGAGTGTTTCTCACTTGCGATGATGCTTCTATCTCATTCTGTTGTATTTGTTCAAGACCTTCAACAGAAGTTCTATGCAAGATTTTACTAGAGCTGACAAAGTTTAGACTTTTATACAGTGCCTAATCAGCATGATAGGGTAGTAGGGCATACCTCTTTCAAGTGCTCTGCAGTTGGGTAGCCAAATGAAAAATCAGCAGATCTAACCCAACTGGATTTCATCAAGTCATTTCTGGATGTCCTTTAATAGATACAGCTCTTGTTAATGACAAGCAGGGTTTTGAGACAACTGCTTTCTGCTGCCTTGATAAGTACCGCTGAGTGTCTACCACCTGGTGGGTGACTTTCTGCCCCACAGATTTCAAGAGCTTCAGCCCTTTCCTTTCCCAGGGATACATCTTTGTATATTGGATATGCTTTTGATTACTGATGTTTCTCCAGCATCTTCAGACAGGAAAAAATTACTTAGGTTCTTGGCTCATCTCCCTGTCCCAGTGACCCTTGTATTCTCCTATTTCTGCATTTTTCTCCAAAATTCCTTGCAACAATACTGTTTGGATAAAATAATGTGTAAAATGCTCTTCTAATTAAAATACTTCACTAATCATGTTTGCAGTATATTATATGCACGTTGTAATGAGTCTCTTCTTTGCACATCTGTGTAGAACTTTGCTGTGTTGCTGAGGTTCTCGCCATTTATGATGTGAAACACTGTGGTATGGACTATTTGAATTGCAGGTTTGTTTAGAGCACGCCTTTCATCTCCTTTGTAATGGACTAATAGACGAAGCTTACCAAAACCTGTCCCTGGCGGAAAGCTGGAGGTTTGGAGAACAAACAGTCATTCAGGATAAAGAAATGAAATTGATTCAGGCTTACAGGGGGCTGTTGGACTACTATAGCTGGTCTAAGCAGAGGAACATCCTGTTAGAGCATGGTAAGTCCTTGTGTTGTTTTTGTATTGAGCTGTAAACTTCAACTTGCTTGCTCTTGCAGACACCATGGTTTGCAATGAGGCCTTTTCCATGCGGGCTGCTCTTCTGCCTTTATCTGCATACGAAGGCACCAGAGGGAACCTAGACTTGAAAATGTGATGTTATGGTTGGTACGTAATTCCGTATCAGCAGTGATGGTGGTACCAAAATGGCATGCTGACCTGCACTTTTCTGAAGTGTCCTGAAATGCTATTCTGAAACTTTCCTCTCCACCTGAGTCGCATTTTCATATCCAGGCATCATCCCCTAAGACAATGATCAAAGGAAGGTGTTCACATACAGCAGTGGCTTCCTTATAGATTCATAAGTGCTTGACTGCTGCTAGAATTTTGAGTGCTAGCAAAACCCCCAAAACTTATGTTTGAATTTCAGTTTCTTTAAAGATACCTAAATTGCTACTTGTATGTGGCATCTAATTCTGCATATACCTACTGGCTGTGTGTTATCAGTTACATTTGAGCTCTACTTATTTCTATGAAAACTAAGTATTGAATTTTGCTGGTTACATCTTGTCATGCCACATGAGTTGAAATTGGTTGATAATAAATTTGAATGAAGAACAGTGAAACTCTCTTGTTCCAGTACTGAGGAAACTGAGGCCTCTTTTTCTAAAAGCTCTCTGATTGGAATCCTTGCTTAGCAAAATGTGTTCATCTTTTACATGCACCACTTCTTCAAGATCTCTCTTGATTAGCAAAGCTAACTTTGTGGCATTGTCTCATGTTTTGGTAGGTCATGATGGATTTGAAGACTTGTCTGTTGAACAGGAAATGCACAGTTGCTTTCGGAAGGCAGCAGTGAACTTAAAGGAGATTATTAAAATACCTGGAGTCTGGGATCTCTTTGTGAAATGCTATGTGGATGTAAGGGCATGTCTTACAGATATCTTCCTATTGTGTTTCCCTGTCTAATTTTCGTTAAGATGTCTGCAGCTTTTTTTAGATATGTGTGGGTGACAACAAATTACTTTAAACACAACACATCTGTATGTGTATCTCACTGGCTTTGATTTAGAGCACAGTTTACTCCTGGTAGAACTGCAGAGCCTGCACAGAGTACAAAAAGGACTTTATCTGTGCATTGCCAAGGAAAAGAAATAGACAAACAGCTTGCATATTTTGTTTTCATGGTGCTAATACAGAAATTTGAGCACAGCTACTTTGTTTAAATTCCCGAAAGCAAGTTCTCTCTTCTTGGCAGGGCAATGTTTAACACTTAGTGTATCCAGAAAAAGACACCAAACATGCAGTCCTTCTGTGTTTTGTTGTTGTTTTTTAAATATCTGCTTAGAATTTGTAAGTAATAAATAAAGTTAATCTTAAAATCTTTACTTTTGGTAAATGCTGATAAGCTCTGACTTCTCTGAGCACATCTTACAGAAATTTGCTTGGTGCTGACAGCTGCCAAGTTCTCTCTTTAAAGACGTGGTAAGCTGCTTCAGTGCCTCTTTCCAGTGCACAAGTGCTGGTAATTCTTTGACAATTAAATAAGTGTTAAAGGAATCTTCTCCTGTAGCGGCTTCTATGTGTGAATTTTTGTCTATCTGCGATAGGAGAGTAGCCAGTAAAATGAAAATAGCTAGTGTTAGTCTTATCTAATGTCACTCATAGATACAGAGTGCGTATTGGGTAGTTCTGTGGCAGCCCAAAATTAATTGTAAGTGTATGATTGTTAATATATGGTAAACTAATGGCAGTCTTAACTTCTCTTAGTTGTTGGAGTTCTATGGAGACCATAACGAAGCCCGCCAAGTATTAAATGAATATGCTTACAACTCAAAGTTTCCTGCTAATCCCAATGCTCATGTTTACCTCTATCAGTTCCTGAAGAGACATGGTGAATCAAAGAAATCGCTCATATCTGCCCTCAAGGTATGTATTATATAGTAGATACAGTCTGTGGTCATTCATGTTGCATGGTGCTGTGAAAATTTGGTTCAGTTGAACTCCTATTACATTATTTACCCTATTTTTGTCTTTGTGGGAAGCAGAGGAGTAAAGTTAGTGAGAGGGATGCTAATGGGTGCGGCAAACAAGATCCTGTCCTGTCTTTGAATTAATGTATTTGTTTTGCATTTAACTGATACATTGTATAACTTCTTTAAGTCAGTAAACCAGCTCAGAGAACATGTTTACATGGTTCCAGAAGTCTGTATCAGCAGTCTTGTACATAACATGCGTTGATTTTTGTTAGTCTGATCTTGACAATACTGAAGAAATTATTAGATGCTTCCTCTTTTGCATGTTGATCCTGTCTAGCAATTAGTTTATCTGTTTTCAATGAGCTGTGCGTTTAAGCTAAAATAAAAGTTAATTTCTGCTGGCTGTTGGCAGACAAGGCCTTGCTGCATTAAGCTTTTGTATAGTTACTTTTACTTACCCTTGGCTCGTTCATCTTGGTAGCTTCTTGCAAACAATGTTTTGCAATGTGTTTTGCCACTTGATGGCACTAACGTGCTTTTGTTAAGGCAGATATTTCAGAACAGCTTCATAAAGTTTAGACTTTTAAACTGTGGCATATGTGTATAAAATGCCAGCTTCTCAGTGTGTTTTAGCAGTGGTTTTATACCCTAGTCTCTTACAAGACAGTGACAAATCAAAGAACTGGTCTGATTGGTCCAGAAACTGTGATCCACTGCACAGAGCAGTAGACAGGGGAGCTAGAACTAGCTTAGGAAGGAAATAATGTTGCCTTCTAAAAAGGGGACACTGGATATGGACCTGGACTGTTCCTTGAGAATGTTGTATTTGTAACATGCAGTGTTTTTCAGCAGCTATCAAGGTATTTCATCCATTGTGTCACAGAGCAGTGTCACAGATGTGCAAAATGGACCTAGATATTAATTCTTTATATCAAGGCACTAAGATACCACATTTCTTAATTTCCTGAACTAAACCACTCAAAACTCTGAAGCCTGTGCTTCTCTCGATCAGGTTAGAAGTCTTCAAAAGTTTTCACATAAAAATAATGTATCGGATTTTTTGGTTTTATTTTTATTTTTCAGATCTTGCATGATATTGTTCCTTCTCATGAACTAATGATAGATTTTAATACCATGCTTCAAAAATCAAGTAAGTATTTAAATAGCTTTGCTTTTTTCCTTTCTGTTAATCTGGAATAATATTCTGAAATTATTCTGCAGACTTCTATCTGCTTTTCAAAGTCATTTTGTTTAAGGGAGGAAAAAAAAAAGCCAAAACAACCCAAACCCCAACTTTGCAATCACAGGAACCTTTAAGTTGAATGTGTGAGCAGGTGTTTATGAACTTCTGTAAACAAATGCCTTTCTCATTTTAAAGGCCGATCAAAGGCTGTTGTAAGGCACAGCTAGGATCTCAAAAATAACTTTTTTTTTAAGTACCTTACTCTGAATACCAGGGTCTCCATTCCGTTTTTGGGGTCTTGGATTTATTTATTTATTCTTCATTTTCTGGAGGACTTGAGATGGATCTATACTTTAGTTCACTGTATTGATCAAAGAACAAAATCTTCTTCAAGAGAGTTTTATCTTCAAGCTGGTAGAAGAGTCTTACAAATTGGAGACTGTTTTTCCCATGCTGATCAATTGCATTCCAGTCTGTCTTGTGACCTGGTATGTTCCAGCAAGTCAGCAGATCAGTGAAATACCCTTGAATCAAGATTGTTCTCTCTTCTGCTTTTCCTCTTTAGGAGGTGAAAACAAACCACTTCAGTAACAGAGAAAGTAGCAGCATTTGCAGAGGCAGGATGGAGAACTGTATTTCACTTGTTTGCTAAGGAGTTCAGCCCCATCTAAGTAATTCATTAATCAGCCTAATCTTTTTTCAGAGAAAAGAAAAAAACGTCGACTGGGGCTAGAAGTTATTTTTGCAGCCTTGGATTATGCTGGCTGGAAGGAAAATGTAAAAGCATGGAACTGTTTGGCAAGACAGGTGAAACAAATAATAATGTAAGTATCTCTGATACAATGTGCTAAAAACAGTGGGCCAAAGTCTCCACATTTGGGCAATTGACAAAGTGACACTCTGTGGTCTTTGTCTTCCGTACTGGTGAACGGAATTGTCGTCTGGCCTACCTCTGCAGAGTTCTGTGGCAGTGCTTGGCTGCAGTGTGCTTTCATTGGGAGGAAAGAAGAAATTATTGAGGATAATTCCAAATTTCCGGTGTTACCACCTGAAAAAAGTTGTTGGGTTTTCTTTACCGGGTTATGTGTTTATGCAAAGAGTGTTATTCAGATGTTCAGGTAGCGTTTGCTGCCCATCACTAATCTCCCTCTTTTGGCAGGGAGCACAAGTTGTTCTGCTCTGTTACTGCGTGTGCATTACTTGGAGCTGGTTTGAGAATTGCTGGGCTGCAATAGGGACGTGACGGGTACTGTACAGACTGGTGTGTTGTGTGATGGTGGGAGCCGTTACGGAATGCAGCCAGCGTATTCATAAAAGCTGAGGCAACGTGCCTGGGGATGGGGCATGGCCTCTGATTTCAGAAGGAACCATCTCAGACAATCCATGTCCAGAAGGCCTCTAATGTCTAGACTTTTATTTTAACCAACAATCAAGGTTGTGTGGTTTTTAAGCCCTATGTATCTACAGTAAAATAATTGCATACTTAATTTGACCCATTTTGCTGGTTTATTGCCACCTCCACAGCATCTTGTCCAGAAGCTAGTGGATTAAACCTAGGAGCATTGTTGCTTAGAGTTAGTAAAAACGGTATGATACTCTAACTTTGCCTGCATTTTTGTATTTGAAGACACAGCTTCTTAGTATCTTGAAATATACTGGGCATCTTGGTAGTTTTATGGGAATGTCACTTCCCTGTTGTAGTTTCTATTTCTGAAATGCTGAAAGGTCTTTATTGCATAACAGTTATTGGGGTAAGTATTTGGAACAAATTAGTCTTTGAGTATGCATAGTGTAACACAAACATTTTCTAAAAACAAACCAACCTTTTCATGCTACTAATTTGTTGACAAACTTGAAGAAACTTTCTTGTTACTATTGGCAAACTGGCACACAAGTCAAAGGCTTGCTTTATTTCACACCATAATCTGTGTTAATGCCAAGTCTAAAAAAGACTGCTAGAGTTCACCTCCTGCCTCGCTAGTGTTGCCAGGGATTTCTGTTTAGATTAGTGTTTTAGTCTGCAGTGTAATGTTAGTGTGTCTGCGCTGGCAATTTGAGACTTGTAGCAAGTTGATTATAAAATTCAGTGACAACTAATCATCTTTTCATCCCAATGTAAGCTTTTTTGTCACTTGTTTTACCTTTTTCCAGCTCTGAGAAGCACCTTGACTGGATCAAGCAAGAGTGGAACTCCAGAAAGGACTGGTGGCCAGCCTTCCATTTTAGCCGTTACTTGGCAAAACGGAATTGGCAGGAGAATGAAAGCCTTTCGTATGAAAAAGCTCTGGTGGCTGGAATCTTACTGGGAAAGGGTAAACTAAGTGTTCTTTCCTTTTCACGACATAGAACAGAAATAATGTCTAGTTCGAGCCCTGAGGAGATGGGATGCAGCTGATCTCCCTGGAAGAAATGCAGTTTCTTCCTTCTAGGAAAGATGGTTGTCTTTGAAGTTGAACATGAGAAAAACATTTAAATTGGTTTGGTATTTGACAGTGATGCATATTTTGCATAACCTGTCTTATCCTGGTTTAGAGTTCTGTTTTATCTGGCCTTGTTGAGCAGTCACAATACTATTTATCTTGTTTAACCTTCAAACCACAATTTCAAAAATGCACAACATGCTCCTGAGTGAATCTTGTGAGGACTACGGAGAGTTTGCTTGCTGGATACAAGTCTAGCCAGTGTCTCAGCAAATACTGAGGAGCCGCTGTTCTTTAAGGGCTGTGGGGGTGTTGTAATGCAGCAAAGAGGAAGGGGGGTGGTCTTCAGGGAAAACCATCAGCAGTTTGGTAAGAAGGTGAAGATCGTGACCTCTTTAGTAGCATTCTTTGAAATGCTGCTAAAACCAAGTGGAGTATTGGGCCAAGAAGCAGCTGCTAAATTGAGAATGAGAATACAGTGTGGAGACTGTGGCTCATACACCAGTTTAGACTTCTGGTTTATAGGCAACTTGTTTGTTGTCAGCTTTTCTATAACTTTATCTGGTGGAATTCATAAAAGAATTTCTCATATTGAAAGTCTTTTTTTTTACTTTCAGTAATATGTTATCAAATGTTTCCCAGCTTTTATTTCCAGATAGCTAATAAAATTGTTCCAGCTCTAATTTTTTGAAATCGTTTCTGTGCTTATTGGTGTTAATGAGTCTTTATTTTCCTTAACAATAAGTTAATGTATGAAATCAATGCTGCCTTACACTCTTGAAAATTTACTTTCTAATATCTTTGAAAAGTAAAAACAAAAGAGAAAAATATTTTGCAAGACACCGCATACAGTTATATACGTATAGAATGCTTTCTGGGTCAAATAAGGATAGATTATTTAATGCTGCAATTATGTCTCTACTGTGCATGTCTTGGATTATTTTATTACCTTTCATTAGTGAAAACTTTTAGGTGTTTGCATGTTATTTAAACAGTGAAAGCATTTTAGCGTTTTGTATTTGCTTGTGTTATGGTGTAACTTACAATGCTTTTTTTTTTTGCCTTTTTTTTTTTTCTCTCTCCTTAGACTGCAAGTACTTCAAATATATATCACACCAAGGCTGCAAAGCTCAGGTGAAGAGGTTTCGGATACTGAAGAAATTTGTGAATAAGCACAATCCTGTCTACCTGAGAATATCTAGTCTTTCAGATTCCTCTGTACAACCTTGATTAGAAGGCATCCTTAAGGTTCTTGCTGCATTTTCTCCTCTCTGTGAAACTGACTTCTGTATTGGTGCTATTCTAATACTTCTAGGCAGACCCTGTAGACTCAGTACTAGACTTTTTTATATATTTCTGTAAAAGAACTTTGGTTTGTATTTATTTTATAATAAAATGAATATAAATCAACTGATAAGGTTGAAGAATTTCTTTTATTAGTCCCATATTTCTGTGTGGAATGCAAACAGCATTGATTTCAAATACCTCTTGAGAAATATCTAATATTATGGTGTGAAATTTCTGTATCAATAGGATTTTAGGGTTGATCCTCATGTTTAGATGTGGAGATGGTGATTTAAATGACTGCTGGAATGTAGTTCAAAATCCATTCAGGACTAGCAGTGGCCGTAATAGGTGTAGTGTCTTAACCTGGGAACAGTTCATGATGCAGTGTGAAAATGCAGTCTCAACCTGTAAAGGTTACATAGCATGCTGCTTATAACTGATCATTTCCTGAAATACGTGGCAAATGGTGAGGCACATGTCACACTTTTTTGCACTGTGTATTGAGAAGAATTACAGGTTGTGAAGATCATCTGCAGCTTGTCCAAATAGACGATGATATCCAAAGGCAGTTTTCCCGTATGTCATACTTACGGGTTGTGTGTCCAGCTCAGGGATTGTTTTGACATCATTGGTAGGAGAGAGTGGAAGCTTGCTGTAGCTGCATGGCCACAGAGGAAAGCTGGTGTTGCAGTGCTTTGAAAGAGCAAAGGCCCGGAACTACCGAAAACTTCTCTACCTGATGAGAGAGAACTTCTGGAGTCTTTTTGCAGTCTTGCCTGTGAGTTGACTTGTGCGCTGTTGGTGTGTTTGGAAAGCAAATGCTAATGTGTTGTCACAAACTAGCATTCCAGTTTGACTGAAAACAACAACAACAAAATGGTTTCCAACTATTACTTCTGTTTTAATGACAGGTCTGTAGAATTCTGGATGAACTGCTTGAACTACCTCTGGGAATGAAATAAAGATGTCTTTATTAGCATAGTAGTATATGGATAAGTACAACTGTGCTTTTAAAAGCTGAGTGTTTATCTGGGAGTTTAGATTAATATGGGTCTTGTGACATGTGCCTAAGACTGCGTCTTAAACATTGAGTGTGCTACTGCCATAACTGTATGTTTTATTTAAAAAAAGGCAATTATTCATCATTCCTGACCTATGTGCTGGTTTAGTTCTGACTCCCTAAGAGTGCTGCTGCCTCGTTCTGTAATAGTCTTTTTTTTTTTTTTTGATCTTCAACTGAGTTTTGACTATTTTAATTTAGATGTTGAAGTTTCAAAATGCTCTTCTGTGGTGATGTCTCTCCCACACCCCTGGGAAGCAAACACACACACCCCCCCTTGGTCCGAAAGGCAATCCAGGGAGTTGCTTCCAATGACTCATTTGATGGGTTTCATGCCTGGACGGTGGGGCTAAGGCTGTCCTGGGACAGCCCTGGGAGGCCACTGGACAGGGTGTCCTTTCCCTGCAGTCCTTAATTTGGCTTCCTGCCTGCTACTGTGCTCTGGATTTCCAAAGACGGGCCTTTGATGGGCTGGTGGCTCTCCTGTGATGGGCCTGGGAGCATCCCAACAGGCTATTATTTGGGCTTCCCCTTTCCAGTGTGTCTGTGTGCTCCTTTGTGGGGGTGCAGAGGTGCTTTTATCATACAATCTAACATTGAATAGTATAAAAATTGAGTGCTAGAACCCCTGATGCTTGTTGAGAGCTCCCATATAATTCTCCTTTTGTCTCCTTAGCTGCCTGTGGGAGACATGTATGCCTTGCAGCAGCTGAGAAACCATCTCTTTTATTGAGGAAGAAATTTGAAACAAAGCAGCAGAGACTGGAGTGGAGGTAAGAAGAATGCAGTAAAGAGAATGAGAGGACAAAGAGGAGCTTGATGTCTTTGAAAAATCTGTTAATCCATTGTGCTCACAGCTTTCTCCTATGACCTCTGGAAGCAGGGTTGCTACCAAGTTTCATATTCTCTCCTGGTGCTAGAACTACCATGCTGCAGTAAGCAAGGAGAAGAGCAGCACAGTCCCAGCTTTCACGTAACTATCTCAAGCATTGCTCTTTCATGTCCTGCAAGAAACTTGCTGTTTCCTGACACTGTAGTACTTACATCTGAGACAAACCTGTCGGTCACAAGTCCTGAGTGGAATTTCCTGTGTGAGTTATTCAGTGCATACTGTGTTTTCAAGCTTGTGCGTTGTACTTTGAATGTGGTAACTCCTAGTGGACTGGAATATTCTGCTTTGGCTCTGAATTATGTGGTCTAGGTTTGGTTTTCTTATAACTTCACATATTCACCCTGTGTGCAAAACTTCAGTGAGGTGTTTTTTCCTTCTGTGAAACAAATAGCCCATCTTTTCTTCGCTGATCTCCTTTATGCAGAGGCAAGGAACTTGTTCAGGGAATCCATGTCTTCAGTCCGCAGACTGTGCCTGTCGCCTTGTTATTCCACCTCTTGCTCTGGTATTTTTAATATTAAAACCTAACATAATGATAATACAAAATTACAAATAACTTCATCTCTACCCTCATCTTTCCCTGTTGTTCTGTTCATGTTTTTGATGCTCCTGCTTGTGCTTTCCTGTTTTAAGAATGTCTTTACTAAAGTTCAAGAAAAGCAAGCTAATGAAATGTCAGCTGCTTTTTAAAGCATGTTGACCCTTGGGTAAATGTGAGCAGTAAGCTCTGTGGGAGGTTATGTGTTACCTCCTTGTCCAAATGTGACTAAAGCTATTCTAGCTTTTCTGTCCCCATCAGGGAGCAGCAAGGAGTGTTCTTGCTTCCTGGTCTTGAAGCATCCAGTAACTAAGTGCAGTTCTGCACATGGGTAAATATTCTGAGGTTTTGTCTGCAAGGGGCATGCCTCTAGGAAAGGGAGAGAGGCGCTTAAGTTCTCTTAATGGTGGATAGTTAGTTACCCTGAAGAGCTCAGTAATGCTAAAGGAATTAAAAGCATAGGGAATTTGTAGGCTGTAGTTACGAATGAAGAGTGCATATATATCCTTGCTTATCCTTGCTGTTTGTTGTAGTTTCAAAATAAGGCAATTGCCAGGGGACACTAATGCCTTAATTTCAGTGATTGTCTGCAATGTATGAGAGCAATAACTGAGATAAGCTGATACTTCAGCAGATTTAAATGCTTGGATTTAAAAAGCTTTATCTCATGACAGTGCTGGATCTTGTGACTGGCCTGCTTTGCAGTTCACTGAAGTCTAAGCAGAGACAGGATTATTGGCAGGCTGCTGTGCAGTCAAGTGATGGTTAAAACCCTAGAGTTTTTTAAAGCAACCATTTCCCAATAAAGACTCCTGAGGAGATCTGTAATCACAGAGCATTCTCAGCTGTCATGTAACGCTGGTTGTTGTATTGAGAAGCTAGGACTGAGAGCTTTGACTTCTCCATGAGCTATGTGCAAATAGATCCTGGGAGTAAATGGTGATGTGTGGGGAGAGGGGGAAGAGTTCTGAATGAGTGGAGGTGTCCCTACACATTCCTTGCGCTTCCTGTGTCCCATGGAGGTTAAGCAGTAAGAAAGAGGTTGCTAGAGAAAGCAGAAAGGATATCTGTGCATTGGCCGTAATAGTTTCTCTTAGGATTTGGGAAGAGGAGAGACATTTAATTGCTTTTTTTTTTAATTGCTTGGTTCCTCACTGATGTTTCAGAAGCAGTAAAACAGACCACAAAACCTTGCTCTCTAATAAGCTCTGTTGTACAGAAATGTCTAGTGAGTGGGTGTATGCTAAAGCCTCTTCCTAATGGCATCAGACTGGCTGCAACAAGGTAAAAACAAGCCTTACTCCTTGTCATTGGATCACTTAGGCTCTTGGTGTGCTGCTGATCTTGAACTCACGCGTCAGGATGCGTGCAGCACAGTGGTGATGAGCACGCTGGGTGCGTGTGGCTTTGTTGCATTGTTATGAGTAGCGGTGTGTATGTGAAAGGAAAATGTTTGTTTTTGTGAAGTGATAAAGGAACTTGGTTGTGATCAAAGTGCTCTCGGTCCATTTGTGGAGGAGCAGAGTTAGGGAAGTGTCATTCTCAGAAACAGGCTGAGTACCATGTGTACAAATACAGCACACCTGTGTACACAGCTGATGCTGTACTTCACTAACTGGAGGGCTTGCTCATGCATTCTTCACCAGAGAGGAAAGTAGGCAAAAATCTCATGTATCTTTAAATCAGTTTAATGTCAGCTGGGATCAAAACCACTGAAATCAGTTATCTTAAGTACAATATCACAGTCGACTTCAGGTTGTGCTGGGGTCTTAAATGTGTGTTTTCTCTTTCACTGTTTCTGAATTTCTTCTCATTTTAAGACTGAATGTATACTTGGATTTGTGGGTAACATCAATATCTCTGTAAAACTTTTTGTCCTCAAATTACTTGTACGTATGGTTAACTGCTGCCTTAATTTGGTTGTATTTTATCATCCCTGTTCAGTCATTATGAAACCAGACCCGAGTTTGGTGCTTTTTAAAAGCTGAGTAAAATGGTAGTTAGCAATTGAAAATTATTCACTTGTGTTTTGTAAACGGGGAGAGATTATCAGGTTCTGTATGTAAGTATCATATTTCATATGTTTGTTATTCATATTTCTTGGTAAAGGATTTCTCAGCCAATTTAAACTAAGATGTAAGGATTAGATTTGTGAGTGCTTCTAGGAGCATGAGAAATGTCCAGAAGGGAGGGTTCAGCTATGTGACGTGTGAAATACCAAAGAGGCAGCCCACAGGTTTTCTCTCCTGCCAAGTAGTAAACTTCAGAGAGAAAAAGGGAGAGAGAATGTAAGCAAACCTGAGTGAATGCTGAGCTCTGTGGATGGTGATTAATAAAGCAGAGAGGATGAATGAACCATACTATGAAGTAGGCCAGGATTTCTATACATCTGACCTGAAGAAACCTATGCTGAAGGAAACAAATGTTTGGCTATGCACTGGAAGGAGCAGCAGCAGCTCTGGAGTTTCCTTTTCTTGCCCACATGTCTGTCTTTGCGTCTCCTTGTTGTGCCTGATAGGCAGTCTGCTGGGGCATCCTCAGTGTCTGGATTATGGACCACCCTTCCAGCCCCCTTTTCACTTGGAGTTCTGCTCTGCCTATGAAAACTTTGGCTGCTGTGACCAGGAGAGGGA